GCGCATCAGTCTGTTAAGGAAATAGCATCAAATAGCAAGAGCCTCAGCCCTTGAAATAATTGAAAAAAATTGACTTTACTATCAGCTGCTTGTTTCACACTTTGCAAATAATGTATTGACTTTTTAATGTAAATTTGAGCTTCTGCAGTGTCAGTTCCTTTTAGTGGAATTAAATATTTTTCCACATCAGAATAATCTTGAAAAGCACATGGAAAAAATCATAATGCTGCAAACTGTACAAGATAGATTGGAATCTTTCAAGAAGTGTCTGTTGATATAGCTAAACAAAAAGTTTAGAACTGTTTGATCTATAAACTAACAGACTTTGATTCAAGTTTATGGAAGGGAATTACTTAATTTCTACAAATGGTTGCCTCAGGTTCAGAACTTGTACTTATTTATTTATTTATTTATTTATTATCTTTGAAGGCTGCTATTTAGGCATTCTTATTTGTTACCTCTTTCATCTATAAATGAACTTTCATTCTTGTCTCAGTAAGGCTTGAATTAGACTGAACATTGGCTGTCTATGTTCTTTTTATTGGGACTGGCAACACCATGATTTTGTTCTATTGTCAAGACACTTTATTGTTGTTCAGACTACAGTTTAAAAGGTTGCACTAAAAAAAAGCCAATTTTTCAATACAGTACAAGAGCAAGTACATTTTTTGTTTTCACTTTTTCACTGAATAAGCTGAGGCCTAAAAAATGAAAAGTACATATTTTATCAGCCTTGTATAGCTAACAGGTTATTATTGGCTAAGAATATGAGCTACAGTTCCTTTACATGAAGAAAATTGTGACAAAAAATATTACCTCTGTGCAAATTGTGGTATATATAAGTTTTGGAACCCAAGCTTTTGCTATATTGTAGTCCACTGATCCAACCCAGTAAAATGGCTGTGCAACCCTTTTTTAAAATTATTGTTGTCAGCTTGGCAGTATTTTAACAATAGTTCTACACATACACATTCATACATACATACACATCTTTCTAAACCAGATATCTATATACGTACAGTAGGGTCCCACTTATACTGCAGGTTAGGTTCCAGGTTACTGCCGGAAAGCAAACATCGCCGGAAAGCAAAACACTATTTTTTCCACTTACAAATGCATATAAATGTCAGATAACAAGTTTACACTAACATATTAAGTTAGCAATAAAACTAGGCATTAAAATACAATAAAAAGTAAAATACACACACAGTGCACTCATATTTCCCTCAAAATATTTTGCTTAATGTAGGGCAAAAGGTGAGTGTATTTCTGTAAGAGTAAGGTGGGTAGCCCCCGGGCCCCCCCAAACACAAAATATACTATGACAATGCAAAACCCTTTGACTTTTTGGTCTTATATATAATTTACGACCAGTGTTTCGCGTATACATTATTACTCGATAATTGTAGCGGCTTCAAACAACGGAAGAAAGCGGGTGGCCCCACAGGGTGGGAATGGGTCTGTGTGGTCGTGTGCACCACATAAAAAAAATCCTGCAGCACAGTGCTAATGAAAAAAAAAAAACTCTGTGTTTTTTTGGATTAAAACGCCGATTTTGGGGTGTATTTTCGTTAGTTTTTTATCGAATTATTTGGTTTTCATGTTTTAGGGATAAAATGGAAAACATATTACAAAAATAGAGAGATTTTCATTCTTTGACGATGAAAACTGCCCTGAAACTGGCTAAAGTGGGAAATTTTCGTTTTTTCCCAATGTTCAGGAGAAACAAATACACCACACGTCCAATACACTAAGGGGAGTCTAATTTTTTTCACGTGCACGATTTATTTATACCTTTTTTTACAATAATGGTAGTCGCATAACAGAAAATTTTGTATTTTTTTGTTGAATAAAAAATAAAAATAGAAAGCAATAAAATTAAGAGGGGCCTAGAGATGTGATAATAACAAGGATATGTTTTTTTGGGCCAAAATGTTCCCTTTTTTTTTGCCCTATTTTGAAATTGGCATCTTTTTTAGTTTGCGTGAAATTGGCCAAATTGCCAATTTCTGACCACAATATTGGGTAGTCCAAATTGGTAAATGCGAGGTTTCTTGTACTCAGCTGATAGATAAAATGGAGTTCTAAAGAAATAGCTATGAGATTGGTCAACTGGAACAACGGAATTGGCTGAAAATAGGGCTCAAAGTCGGCGAAATCGCCGATACGCATATGTCGCCGAGACCGCTAACTTCGCCGGAGCATAATTCCACGAGTTTTCGACCAAATTTTGAACTTTTGGTGGCATTACCATCGGGAAAAGATTCTCTATCATTTCATAAGAAAAAATGATTTTTTTTTTTTTTTTTCAAAAATTTATCGACATAGAATGACAGTTTCAGAAAGGGGCCTGAAACAGTCAAAGGGTTAAACCTCCAACGTATGTATCTCAGGAACCAACTTAATGAGCTTGTCGAGAACCTCTTGAAGACAGCTAGGGGGTTCATGGGTTATTCCCCTTCTACATGAAGGGTGGATATTAGAGTCGTGGTCCTTTTACACTTACCGAGTTCTCTCCGCGTATTCATTGCACTCCAGCTCTTCATCATTGATATCCTACACCATTTGCCAAGCCTCTTGCTTTCATATCCAATGAGTTTGGTGTGCAAGTAAGGGATCAATCCCCACAGAATTTTCCAAGGGTAAATTATGTATCTTTCTCACTTACATTCCAAGGAGTGCAGCTCGAGGGACTTCAAGAGCTCCCACTAATTTAGGTGCTTGACTGAGGCTTTGGTGATCATGCCTGCGGCTCACTCTCAAGATGCATATACAGTACATATTTATTTGTAGAATATACAATATACAGTATTTATTTGTAGAAAGTCAGTGTGGTAGGTAGGGTAGTGTAGGGAACCCAGCCTCGCCACCCCACCCACTATGTAAACAAACAGACAAAGCATCTGGTTATGGTTCATAAACATTCATACAAACACCTTACATTGTGTACAAGTTGTCTCCAACACGTCCTTTCTTGTGTAATTTTTAGAAGGAATGATGCTCTGACAAATTATTATTTACAAATTATTATTATAACAAATTATTATTATAATCATAATAAAAAAGAAGCACTAAACCCACAAGGGTTGTGAATTGCTATATATAGAGTGAAGGCATACAAAAGGAATATTTATCTACAGTTATACCCCAGTGTTTGACTAGAGAAAACTTAATTCTTCCGACACTCCTACAAAGCTGCTTTGTAAACAAATCTCATATTTATGTCAGTTTTTTTTCTGTTGGTGTATCTTTAATGTTTATATGCTATGTAACATGTTTCTTATATAATTTTGAAGAAAATATAGATGAAGTAACGAAAATGTCTATATTAATGTAAAATAAGTCATTTAATGTGCCCAAGAGAGATTATTATTACATAGTATTACTATGGCATCATGAATAGAGAGAGACTTAGTGATTTTAATGTGTACCTGCATGCCAGCACAGTGTATAAGTATACACCTACCATCTGACTTACGACCTGCTCGACATACGATGACTCAACTTACGACCGTGTGTTTTATGCCAAATTTCTGGGAAATAAACAAGTGTTTGTGTTGTACACAGTGTTTATCCTAAACCTTACAGTATAAAATACAGTACTAACAGCATAAAAAGTAAAGTAAAACATGAAATACCAAAATAAAACAATAAAATAAAGTCATTACAAAAATGTTATGTTGATATTCAGTAGTAAAGTTCGACTTGCGTCCATTTCGACTTATGACTGGTTTCTCGGAACCGAACTCAGTCATAAGTTGGATGGTAGGTGTATTTAGGTACAGTTATAATTATTAGAGTACATATAAAATACGCAATAACTTTTAAAACACTTGAAATTTTGGAAAGTTCCTGACATAATAGATGTGCTCATGGAGAATGTAAACAAACCGTGTGGGGCACGTCGTATTTGAAAGACCACTTGCCGTATAGCAGATTTTGGTCATAATTTGAAATCGCCATATTAGCGGAACACCATAAGGGGAAACGCCATAAAGCGGGGCCTTACTGTATTTGTATATTTTACCTTCTCTCGGTCTGTTTGCCATCAATAATCCATTTGTGGTTCAGTGAGTTATTCTTTTAACTAAATCTTTTGGCATAGCCAGCATGCATCCCAAATTTTACATTTTAACTCCATGTTCTGCAGTACAGCTTTAACTTCCTAATCTTAATGGAGTACCGTACTTCTTAATTTCACTAGAAATTTCCAACACCGGACTGTATTACACTTGTGTGTAACATTCAAAGACCAAAGGTACTGCAATAGCATAACTTCTCTTTGTTACCGTTTATGAGGCAAGTACAGTGGACCCCCGCTTAACGATCACCTCCAAATGCGACCAATTATGTAAGTGTATTTATGTAAGTGCGTTTGTATGTGTATGTTTGGGGGTCTGAAATGGACTAATCTACTTCACAATATTCCTTATGGGAAAAAATTCGGTCAGTACTGGCACCTGAACATACTACTGGAATGAAAAAAGTTCGTTAACCGGGGGTCCACTGTATTTATTTATCAGGTTTTTAAATGCCATATTCTGCATTTTATTTGAAAAAATCCAATGTTTAGTTCAAAAAATTATGAAAAAGTTTTCATGTATGTGATGGAAATAGGAGGGTCATAAGTTAATAATGTAATGCTTTAAATAAATTACATTTCAGAATACGTACCAGTATGTGTATTTATTCATGACTAAGTGAATGATTGTTATCACTCAGCTGTTCATCTCTTCTAAACTATGATTTAATGTGTTAATAAAAATAAAGTGTTTGTATACATTTTTATTGAGTATATATTCATTACATGTGGTACATGTCATTATTAGGCTCAATATTTTGTTCCCTATTTGCAGTATTCATATTAATATTTGTTTTGTATAGTTTTCAAGAACTCTTGAGGTTCTTTGAATGAAAATTAATTTGGAGGAGAGTTGCTATGATGTTGCTTAAAAATTTATATAAGTTTGAGGTGGTCAAAGACATACCACTTGTTCTAGACAATGGGAAGTGTGGGCTCGAGCATGAGCAGCTCGAGTGGAGGAGGCTCAAGCGTGGGAGGGTCCAGTGTGGGTACTCCATCCTCCACACGAGAGAGCACTCCTGTCAGCGCAATCAGTAACAGCCCTCCAGGTTAGTCAGGGCATGAGAGCTTGGGTAGTTACACGGTGTATAGGAATATTTGCATTCTAAAAAAAAATTCTATAATGTGTAAGATATGTAAAATTGTGTTATTGTAAAACAGCTGAAGAGTACTATGGATGGAAAGCAAAAATGCTGTGATTCACTGTGACTGCAATGGTTTGTTGTCTAAATATTTTATTATAGGTAGCTGTATATCTTTTTCTTACCAGAAAAACTTCGCTTTAACTATGTACAATATTACTATAATAGCGATGATCTCATCTTTAAATGTTTGTATCATGTTTACTATAAAAAAGGTAGGTAAATTGTTCTTAAGTTTATTATTCTTCTCATTTCTGTATTACTTTTTCATTTGGTAAGTTATTATATGTACAGTATTTTAATAGCATTATCAGTAAGTGTTTTAAGGGTTATAGTTTAAAACCACTACATGATAAACTGTCTGCAAAATAAAATGTACACATTAAATTGAAGTACAGTACCAAACTCCAGCTTTTAATGCACTTGTGATTCAGGGATTGTCAAAAGTAATTGTTGTTCACAACTTCTGTAAGATAATCACAAGCATTACACAATTCTTCAACAGTTGTTGAAATGTGAAGGGTAGTTTTTCCAGATTTATTTTCAGATATGTACACTTTTATATGACATTTTTAATGTGTTATTAAAAGTAAATGATCTAGACTCATGAGTTTTTCTCTCATTTTTCTAGTGAGTGATTGTGAAGAAACGCTTCATAGTGATAATGAGGACAGCAATGATTCATGGACGACTCAAGATGAGATTCCAGCAGAGCTTATTATAAAATTAGCAAGCAAGTAGGTATCATGGACACATTTTTCATAAAAATTACAAACATAGTGAAACCTTGCTATAATGGTCGCTGATCTTAATAGCCAGGTGGCCTCCGAGAAAAATTTGCTTGAAATTGTGCTGTATTTCATTACAAAGGCAATAATCATGGTAAACAAATGTAAAATCATGGATACTAAACCAGTTACATAATATTACATTGACATTTACTTACTTTTAAAACACTGGCTCTCTCTAACCAAGATAGAATGACCCAAACCAAAAGAAAAGGACACAATCACCATCATACATTTAATAACTGTCTTGCCATACATGGACAAGCATCATGGTTGAAATAATCCTCTAAACTGTAACATACCCATTCCTCCTCCAAAGTGTAGGAACTGTACCTTTTTTCCTTCCCCTAATGCAAGGTGACCCCAAAAAAGAAAACACATTCATCATCATTCATTCAATAGCTTTCTTTCAAGAAGTGTGTTGATGTCACTGTTCAGATTACCCTTCAGTTGGAACATTCCACCCCTCTTTCAGAGTGCAGGCACTACCCTTTCCACTTCCAGTACTCTAGTCCAGCTAGCTAATTTCCTTGAATCCCTTCATAAATATTACCTTGCTCACACTCCAAACCCAATTTCTTGGGGCTGAGGAATTATCTGGGTGGTGGTGAACTGGTGTGACCTGACTGGTTCAAGTTGGAAAAATTTAGATTTAGAAACCATATAGGAGAGCATTGGTTTGGTAATAGAGTTGGGGATGAGTGGAACAAACTCCTGAGTAGAATAATTGAAATGAAAGTCTTGGGTATGAGTTGAACCTGTCTAGCATGGGTCGGTAGACCTGGTGCAGTGCTCCTTCCTTCCTTTTTTTTTTTTTTTTTTTTGCAATATGCTGGCTGTGTCCCACTAAGGCGAGGTGACCCAAAAAAGAAAAACTTTTTTTTTTAACAAACCAGCTGTATCCCACTGAGGCGGGATGACCTGAAAAGAAAAATGAAAGTTTTTCTTTTTAAATTTAGTAATTTCTACAGGAGAAGGGGTTACTAGCCCATTGCTCCCTTTTTCCTTCTTATTTTCTTATAAAAACCTCTTGTCTCTGCTCTGATCTAACACTCACACATGCTTGCTGCAAGCTCAAGCCTCTACCACTGAAAACTTTCCTTACTCTCTCCCTCCAATCTTTCCTAGAATAACTACCAGCCCTTTTTCTCTTTTCCCCAGCTTTATACACCCTCCTAGGGTCAGGATAAGCTTCACATAGATGTTCAGGTATAAAAAGAGGGGCTTCATAAATCATAATCTGTGTCGATAAAAGCATTGTTTATATTTCCATTTTTTTCCAGAGGCCACTCCAGCAGCAATGGTGAAGATAAACCATATGTTTGCCCAGTGGTTGGATGCCGCAAGCGATACAAAAATGTGAATGGGATAAAGTATCATGCAAAGAATGCACATAAAAAAGATAGCAAGTAAGTTTTATTGAGTGTCATGAACGTATAGTGGTACACACAAAATTTATGCACTTGTTACTTTTTTACTGCAGTATTAACTCTAACGATGAAGTAGCTATGTTTCTTATTCAGAATAATGTGTGCTCAGGTGTGTGCAGATTATAGACAACTCAGAATTATGGAAATTGGATCTCTTTCCACTTCAGATAAAAAATCTGAATAAGAGTGATTTTCCCAAATAAATTTCCTTGATATAAAAACAAAAAACATGTGGGTTAGAGATGTGTGCAGGATGACTGGTCCAATGTAACACATACCATACTGCTATACTATACTGTGTTACATTCAGGTGGTGTAAAATACTATATTGCTTTTCATATTAGTACAGTACAGCCTCTCCTCACTTAACAACAGAGTTCCGTTCCTAGGACCACATTGGTAAACGAATTTGTCACATACTATAATGGTAGTGGATTTGTGTCAACCATCTTTGATATAGTTTTAATGTCACCTTTGCACCATTTACAACATTTTTTAGTATATTTTTAAAAGTTTGTTCAGTATTGTACTGTATATTGTAATAAACAGAATAGAGGAAATCAGTTCTAATATACATTATTTAAACGAGTACAGTGGTACCTTGACTTACGAGTTTAATTCGTTCCGTGACCGAGCTTATAACTCAATTTGCTTGTGTGTCAAATCAATTTTCCTCATTAAAATTAACTGAAATGCCATTAATCCGTTACAGCGGAATTCCTGGCTTTTGGGAGGCAGGAGAAAATATTTCAATATAACGCTAATATCAACTCGGCTGCTTATTTATCTGTCACAAGTGATCTAATATGACAAAATAAACAATATAAATAACATAGAAACATGATATATATCCTAGAATGAATAAAATATGTCATTATGTGACAAGTGGTGGCAGCCACTCCCGAGGTATATAATATAATTTATGTTAAGCGCTAAATCCATGGGGATCATTCAGCGCATGACGTGGTGGCTTGATCCTCTGTCTGCTGAGCGCCAGACAGACGCGCTTCCTATTTGTACTTGCCTAGTTGCTCCACTCCCGGGGTAAAAATAATTATTGCTCTGACCATACATTTCCATTCATGACCTTCTGACGTCTTATTATAAGAGAAAACGGAGTGTTTGTGAGGCTAACTGCACTAGATCACTAGTTTCATAAGGAAAACACTGAAACAAAAGCGATTTTCTTGTGTTTTTCTATGATTTCATGCTTTAATTCAATGGACATCATCTTCTTCTCAGCACTGTCCTTTGCACTTACTTTCTTAAGACCCATGGTTAGAAAAAAGAAATTTGGCAAAATAACTGCACAAAAAGCATGTTGAGTGGATGTTGTGGTGTTCACTGCACCAACTAGTGGCAACGTATCTGAAGCTCGCTTGTAACTCGGATTTTGGCTCACAACTCAAAGCAAAAAATCAACCGAGCGTAACCTTGTAATTTGGAAAACTCATAAGTTGGGCACTCGTAAGTCAAGGTACCACTGTACATTGCTAAGTGAGGAGAGGCTGTACTGTAATTTCTTCAAAAGAAAATGTGACTAGCTGAACTGGTGGCAGGCATTGTGTTAGCTCTTTTGAAAAGTTATCATTTTTCAATGCTGTAAAGTTTGTGATGTAAAAGGGATTTTTTATGAAAGCATACAAATTATTGACAATTAACCCCTCTGGGGTTAATTGTTTCTCAGTATTCTCAATAAGCCACACCAACAACAGTCTCTCCACATCTTCGAGTAGTACAGCTGACCGTGGTGCAGCAGCAGCAGACAGTGGTGCAGCAACAGCTGACAATAGTGCAGCAGCAGCAGAAGCTGACCGTGGTACAGCAGCAGCTGATGGTGGTGCAGCAACAGCTGATAGTAGTGCAGCAGCAGCTGACTGTGGTACGATAGTATTTCAAGAGCGTTTCTCACCATTTTTACTACAGGGTTGGCACTAGAAGCTTTCTTGGGGCCCATGGTGGCTTATTTAGCAGTTACAAGCACTAAAAACAATGGAATAATACAAAATATATCGCAGGTACACGTGGGATCGACCACAGTGGCTTGCAAACAATGTCACACTGGCTGTACGTGGAGTCTTGGAGTGGCTGGGCCTGCTCAAGCTGCATGGACACGTTCAGGACAAAAGCCTTTAGACGAGTTTTTTGCCATTGGTAGAGCCAATATTTTGATGCCAAAGAGCGCCGTTAGTCGATTTTGGCGTTAGTCGATGCTGCCGTTGGTTGAGGGCCCACTGTATTTTTAATTCAAAGTATGTATGTAAGTACTGTATTTATATGAATAGTTCATGATGCAGTTTCTAAAAGTTTATTAATATACTGGTCACGGACTGGGCCACTGGGGCGTTGACCCCTGAAACCCCCATCCCTCCAGGTACACAAGTACCTTCCTCTTACTTGCACAGTGCCTATAAATGTAAATACACTATTTTTTTTTTTTCAACAAGTCAGCCGTCTCCCACCAAGGCAGGGTGACTCAAAAAGAAAGAAAATCCCCAAAAAGAAAATACTTTCATTAACATTCAACACTTTCACCTCACTCACACATAATCACTGTTTTTGCAGAGGTGCCCAGAATACAACAGTTTAGAAGTATATACGTATAAAAATACACAATATATCTCTCCAAACTGCCAATACAGTGGACCCCCGCATACCGGACGCCTTGCATAACGGACAATCCGCATACCGGACGCTTTGATCGCTAAAATTTTGCCTCGCATACCGCCCAAAAACCTGCTCAGCGCCCTTCGTCCGAGACGCGTCCAATGTGCGGCCTGAGCCACGCTCACATGTTCCGCCGGTGGCATTGTTTACCAGCCAGCCTCCGCGGTAACATCCAAGCATACAATCGGAACATTTCGTATTATTACAGTGTTTTTGGTGATTTTTTTCTGGAAAATAAGTGACCATGGGCCCCAAGAAAGCTTCTAGTGCCAACCCTACAGCAATAAGGGTGAGAATTACTATGGAGATGAAGAAAAAGATCATTGATAAGTATGAAAGTGGAGTGCGTGTCTCCGAGCTGGCCAGGTTGTATAATAAACCCCAATCAACCATCGCTACTATTGGTGGTACAGCTGCTGCTACTGCTGTACCACCGTCAGCTGCTGCTGCACTGTCAGCTGCTGCTGCTGTACCACCGTCAGCTGCTCCTGCTGCTGTAGTACCGTCTGCTGCTGCTGTAGCATCGTCTGCTGCTGCTGTAGCATCGTCTGTTGCTGCTGTACCACCGTCAGCTGCTGCTGCTGCTGTAGCATCGTCTGCTGCTGCTGTAACATCGTCAGTTGCTGCTGTAGCATCGTCTGCTGCTGCTGTAGCATCGTCTGTTGCTGCTGTAGCATCGTCTGCTGCTGCTGTAGCATCGTCTGTTGCTGCTGTAGCATCGTCTGTTGTTGCTGTACCACCGTCAGCTACTGCTGCTGCTGTAGCACCGTTGTTGGTGTGGCTTATTGAGAATACCAAGAAACAATTAACCCCAGAGGATTTGCCACCCAGGATAGCCCAAAAAAGTCAGTGTCATCGAAGACTGTCTAACTTATTTCCATTGGGGTCCTTAATCTTGTCTCCCAGGATGCAACCCACACCAGTCGACTAACACCCAGGTGAACAGGGAAAATGCCTGGAACTAGTGCTCATATTGGTGAATTTAGAGCCAGCAAAGGTTGGTTTGAGAGATTTAAGAATCGTAGTGACATACACAGTGTGATAAGGCCTGTTCTGGAAGAAAATACCAAACAGGACCTACAGTACTCAGGAGGAAAAGGCACTCCCAGGACACAGTGTCTCATCAGTCATTGCTGCATCTTCAATAAAGGTAAGTGTCATTTATTCTTCATTTAGTAGAGTAGTACATGCACAATATATATTGTGCATGTACTACTCTACTATTGTGCATGTATCCTTCTCTTTGTGTGTAGGAAAATGTATATTTCATGTGGTAAAATTTTTTTTTTCATACTTTTGGGTGTCTTGCACGGATTAATTTGATTTCCATTATTTCTTATGGGGAAAATTCATTCGCATACCGAACATTTCGCATAACAGCCAGCCCTCTTGCACGGATTAAGGTCGCTATGCGGGGGTCCACTGTATCTCAAACCTCTCCTTTAGGGTGCAGGCATTGTACTTTCCATTTCCAGGACTCAAGTCCGGTTATATAAAATAACCGGTTTCCCTGAATCCCTTCACTAAATATTACCTTGCTCAACTCCAACAGCTCGTCAGGTCCCAAATACCATTTGTCTCCATTCACTCCTATCTAACATGCTCACGCACGCTTGCTGGAAGTCCAGACCCCTCGCCCACAACACCTCCTTTACCCCTGAGAGAAATACAAAGGAAACTTTACTTTACTTAATGACCATAAATCACAAGAATTAAAGCTATACGGCCTCTCCTCACTTAACGACGGAGTTCCGTTCCTAGGACCACGTCGGTCGATGAATTTGTCGCTAAGTGAGGAGCATGCTATAATGGTAGTGGGTTTGTTTCAACCATCTTTGATATTGTGTTAATGTCACCTTTGCACCATTTATAACATTTCTGGTATATTTTTAAATGTTTATACAGCAGTGTACTGTATTTAGAGGAAATAGTTCTAATATACATTATTTAGGAATGCATACTGGTCAGAGAGTCTGTCTTAAGTCTGAGTCATTGGTAAATGAGTACATCGCTAAGTGAGGAGAGGCTGTATGCAGATTTCAAACCCTGTGATGTCAGAGCTGTGATGTATCTTTCTACTCATACAAATGCAGTAGTAGGTATATTTAGCTTCACTCCTAATACACTTATTATTTTTCAGAGTGAGAAAACCTTATAGATGTTACTGTGGTAAAAGCTACTGTACAAACCAAGGCCTCAAAAACCATTGTACACATTCACATAAGAACGAGAGTTTAACAGCTGTCACAACAAATACTGGTGAAGTTCTTCAAGTACCTGCAAACCAGCTGTCTTCATCAAATTCCAACAGTCAGCTCTCTGATAACAACAAATCTTCAACGACACCAGTAACTAGATCATTTGAGAATGAAGGGATTGTTCAGGTAAGCGGTACGACAGCACCTTCTACTGTCAACAATCCAATAGCCGTAACTGGACAGATCATAAAGGGAGGGTCGGCAGCAACTACAAAAGGAACTACGACCATATCAAGTATTAATTTAACTGGTTTAGTAGCAGCCAGTGGTGGTAAAATTGCTCTTAAAGCTCTCCCAAATGGTCAGCTACTACTTTCACAACCTTTGGAAGGAAAATTAGCAACCCTAGTCAAATCAGATTCAAAACATGATTTCTCTCTAGATGATGGAAAAAATCATCTTGTTCAGTTAAAAACTGATGGATTTCAACAAATAGAACTTAGTAAATTACTTCAGTCTAATTCAAAATTATCTCAGCATCAAGTAGCAGTCACTACATCTACACTTTCAGTAGCTATACCTGCAAGCTCATTTAATTCTTTGAAAGGTTCGCAGCGAACAGGGTTGTCTTCTTCAGCAATGTTGGCCCGGGCCCTAAAGAACCAGCTTGCGTCAACTCCAACAGGTATTACTTCAGTACTTGGTTCCCTTGATAATCAACCTGAAAACATGTTAGGGGGGCAGGGTGTTATTTTAGGAGTAACTATGGAAGAGGGTACACTTGTTGATAATGGTGATGGAACACTCTCAGAACTATCAGTTATAGAGTAGGACAACACAATTAGAAATATGTTAATGGCTTGACACTGATTAATCTTGGTTTTATATTATGTTCATGTTATTAGTAATTGGATGCACTGTATGGAGCTTTAGTATGTGCATTATATTTTGTTGGAAATGTAAACCTGATAAGCCATGGCTCTGATGTTTATTGTCTTTGGGTAATTTATGATTACATATTCTTGGTGAAATTAAATACATATAGATATATTTTAATACATTAGTGTTATTAAAATAGTCATCACCTGGAAGTGTTTATAAGGAACATGGATAATGATAATAATAATAATAATAATCAATTTCAGTGTGTAAGTTGTAAATGTGAAAAGTTAAATAATTTTCAGTATATTTAAGCACCATACTTCCCATCATATAAGACAATTTTTCTTTAAAATGAAGCAAAAAAAAAAAAAACTGAATCTTAATTGGTTATGTCAGAACTATGGCTCACGAAATTGTAATGACACGATTGCAAACAAACCATACCACGGGTGAGGTTAGAACCCACGATCAGTCATAAAGCTATATTATTATATTCACAGGGATGATAAAAAAAATTTAAAACTATATTATTATATTGACAGGGATGCACTAAACCCATATGGGTCATACAGTGCCAGAGGAATAGAAGGGGTTGTGGTAATCAGGTTTGATCTAAGGAATGGTAAGGTAGCTCTTAATTTAAAACCATCAAAGCAAATTCTTTTACTGCCATTCGCAGTTGGTAATGTTGTTGGGTATTGAGTGTATGATGACCTAAGGGTTATATGAACCTGTTACTGTAGTAGCTGGTTTTAAGATTTTAGTGATCTCGAGGAGCCATTGTGCAGCTCAGTTTGCACAGTAACACATTCCTTGAGCTACTGTCATTTTATTTTAAATGTAGATGCTATATCCAGTTATTTACTGTAAAGCCCTACACTACAGCCCTACACAACTTGCCACCACACTTCACAACCTTCTGCCATACACAACCACCTTCCACCACACAAACAATACTCCATATGCTACAATGCTACCACACATTGCAACCCTCCACTGCATGCCCCACATGCTACAATATTCCACGACATATCACACACATTCTACAACCCTCCATCACAAGCCACTGCAATCTTCTAGAACATGTTACCATTTACAATCCTCTACAGTATGCTGCCACACAATACAGCATTCCTCAATATGCTACACTACAATTCTATAAAACATGCTGTACTACACTCCTTTACAACATGCTATCTCACTCTACAATCCTTCACAACATGCTACCATAATCTACAATCCTCTACATCATGGTACCATACTACAATCCTCCACAACATGGTACAGTACCATACTACAATTCTCCACAGCATGGTACAGTACCATACTACAATTCTCAGTAGTATGGTACCACATTAGTCTTCCACAGCATGGTACTACACTACAATCCTCCACAGCATGGTACTACACTACAATCCTCCACAGCATGTTACCACACTCTACAGTCCTCCACAGCATGCTTCCACACTCTACAAACCTCCACAGCATCCTGCCACACTCAACAATCCTCCACAGTATCCTGCCACACACACTACAATCCTCCACAGCATGCTGCCACACTCTACAATCCTCCACATGCCACCACACTACCATCCTCCACATGCCACCACACACTACAGTCCTTCACAACATGCTGTCACACACTACAAGCCTCCATGACATTCTGTCACACTAAAATCCTTCACAACATGCTGTCACACTACAATCCTTCACAACGTGTTGTTACACACTACAATCCTTCACAACGTGTTGTTACACACTACAATCCTCCACTACATGCTATCATTACAATCCTCCACAAAATGCTGTCACACACTACAATCCTGTGCAACATGCTGTCACACTACAATCCTCTACAACATGCTAACTACCACACACTACAATCCTTCACAACATGCTGCCACAATACTTGTAGTGTGTTTTCAGGCAGAAATATGACAAATTCACCATTTTAACTATTCTCAAAATCTCTTTCTTTTTCATTGACATTTTAATTTTAATGTCTGTTGTCCTGAGTACCAGAAGTTAATTATAGCAGCAGTAGAGTACCCATGTATGATTATGTATACTAAAAACAAATCAATAACTGTTGCTAAATTTAAGGCAAGTCTGATGTGAAGGTGCGTCTTATATGATGGAAAATGTGGTAATTCACCAAAGAAAGATAACATTCACTGATTATAATGCACATAATACATGTTTAAAAAATACAGTAATGCATGTTTATTTGCAAGAAGTAAATTTGTAGCAAAATTATCATCATGTAATTTGTTTAATTGTATTTCATAAAGAGGTAAACTCGTGTGATTCATTCTGTGCAAAGAGTTCTGGAAACTGAATTCTTCCAGTTAGCTATTGCACAGTTGTCTAAGTAACTCCAACATGGGTACAACATGACCACAATATATTAATGCTCTTTACTTGTACTCTGTACTTTCAAAGAATATATGATATACCTGTAGTCTGTGTAGTATATCTGTATATCTAGACATTATGAAACACTGTATGAAAGGACTATTAAGTGATCCAGAGAAATGCAGTGTTACGAGAAATATCTTGAGAATTTTACAAGGTAGTGTAATAAAAGAATTCAAAGTCAACTATCAGAGGAGCTATACAGGAATCTTTTCCAATTTGCATTATTTCTAGTCCAGTAGTAATATCAGATACCAAGCCTCACTTACAGTACACTATAAATTATTTCCATGCTTTGATAATAATTTACTACAGCTTATATATATTTCATGTACACAAATCATACATTTAGGGTCACAATTAACAAGTATTCTCCTGTAGGAGTTTTAAAGTACCTGGAAATTCACTTATTATCTCCATCCACATTTTACTTGTAAATAGAATAATTTTCATCATTGGATAAGCATTTTGTATCATATCGTATTTGTAAATATATTATGTTATAATGCCCATCTACAATAACTCATACCATATTAAGTGTCTTAGTCCTAGCAGACATTACACATTGTCAAGTTGTATGATAGTCCATGGGTGATGATGTCTATTCCATTTAGCAAGGTTTAGTTATTTAAAAAAAAATCTGTTTTCGATATCCATATTGGATGATATTGGCTATATATAATTTTTATATTAAAGCCCCAGTAAGTGAAAAAATTATACCATTTTAAAATTGTTAGAAATGGTGCCTCCAGTCTAAACTGAATCAATACCATGGCAATTACTGTACTTTTTCAGCTACAAAATATGCTGCTCAGTTGAGGAACATTTGTAATGTAACTAGAGAATCGTATAGTTTGCTGGATGCCAGTATATGTTCAACATAAAGATACCTGAGTGTAGGTTGTGATGGATGCTATCTGGACATGAGTGGCACTTCTAACCAACACCATCACATGTAATAAATTATTTAAATGAAGCCTAGAAAAATGAAATGAGCTGTATCAAGGCTTCACAGATGAGAGGCCCAAAACTTTAAATAAGTGAATTCCTTTAGTGTTCATTACATAGAATGTGTAACAAACTATATGTTGAATCATGCTAATTAATTTCAGTGCTAAGTGCAGTACTTGAATAATGACATTATCATGCAAAAATAAACAAAAAAAATTATACCCCTTTAGAAATGCAACATAATAAGTAATTTAAAATGACACTCACAATAATGAATAAATATTTTAGGGATATTGGTAAATTTAATTCCAACACTATTAATGCTACTGAAATAAGTATGACCAGTAAATACAATAATTACATTGATAAGTGATCTAAACTTCTTTCACTGTTTGAAGCTGGCATTTCTCTCAATTCAGGTTAATTCAAATAATCCAAAGTACCATTCATACATGGAAGTGAAAATTTACACACTTGTGAGTAGGGCTGGGGCACTACCAATTATTTTTCCTGATACAGATGCTCAATTTTAGGCCAGAATCCACCGATACCATCAAAATTAGCCAATACCACTGATACTGATATTTTGGCATATCCCTACTTTTTTTTTTAACACGTCAGCCATCTCCCACCGAGGCAGGTGACCCAAAAGAGAAGAAACCTCTTCACCATCATTCACACACAATCACCATTTTTGCAGCCCCTACTTATGAGTGTATAATACGTGCTAAACTTTCATCATTCTGGTCTGAGTAAGCTATTAGTACTGCATATTTAAACTTTTAATTTAATTTTGAAGCCAAAAAAAAATTGAATAATAGTAGGTTAATGTTAATTATGTAATGATTTGGCATAAAGGTTGTACATTGTAACTGTTGGTGTAATGGGAAAAACAGTGTTGTGAAGGGAGATTGAAATTGTGAAAGATAGAACTAAAGATTAGGTCAGATTGACTGTATGTATGTGTTATGGGATAGGAAGTGTAAAATTAATAAGTAGTGCCTTTATTGTGGTGATTTAGGAAGGTTATTTATTTTCTATTGTCGCATTACTTGCAAAACAAGTTATAACACTTATATAGATAGCAGGATTTCCAGAAATATATCTTTATATAACCTGAAAGTTTGCTAGTGATATTTAATAAAAGAAAAAAGAAAAAATAAGCAGGCAGTAATTTTCACTCTAGGCTTACATTAATTACAGCATTGCATTTCACAAACAGCTGTACTGTGAGATATGAAATAAATCACACTTAGAAATCTTCCCTATTTAAGAAACTTATGCACTTTACATTGGTATTTAGTCCTTTTTTTTTTATGTTAATGGATTTCTGTACCACCCTAATGTATAGGCTTAGCATTTCCCTATGAATGTAATAAAAATTCATGGAATTGCTATCAATACTGTCATAATTATTAGAAGTAATAAACAAGATAGTCAGATGTACCATATCATTTTGGAGAGGAAAATTAAGAAATTTTGGGAGTAAGATGTACAACATGTTAGAAAAAATACTGACATAAAATAAATTAATGGAAGTGGATGCAGAATTATAGTATATAAAAAGTTAAATAAAAAGAGTAGGTACTGGGCCAATTTAAGCTGAACATGACTGGGATAGTTTGTTACAAGGGATAACAGTGTTGTTAATAGCTGGATTATAGCATATGTGCCAAGATGTGATATGATTGAAGTATTTAGAGAAAATTATAGTTAGATTATCCTGCTCAATATTGACAAATGGTATATCATAAGATTGACATTAAGGATTGTTTTGATATTAGTTCATGTTAGTTTTAAATGTTTTATTCATGAAAATAAATCTTATCAAAGAGAATTAGATTGATGATAGAGTATTACAGGGTACACAAATAACATAATGGACCATTTAAGGGGGATTTTGCAATTCATGTATAAATATAAGTAATCAAGGAATTTTTTTCATTATTTGAAGACATAAAATTAGCTGGAGATGCATTGTACTTCTCTTGAAAAGTATTCCATGATAGAATTCAAATAATAAGACTTGGAGTCATAAG